GCAAAGGCATTGGGAGAGGAGAGGAAAGGAGGAGGGGAGGGGATGGGAGAAATGAACTAGGTCCTTCATCTTTAGGGGTTTTATCTGTTTCCAAAGGTGGGATTTTAGTGGAGGTCCCAGGGGTGGATCTTAATAGAACATTCACCAGCTTTCCAGGTGTGTCCTTTCAGGGTGGTGGTCTCCAATGGTAGGTTAGCACAAGGGCAGGGGGTCATTAGTCATTTAGGCTGCTCCTGATGTCAGCCATGATGTTGCCCTGCATGGCCTTGCTGCTTTTCTGGGCCTGGAGCTGAAATACAACTGAGGCCTGAATGTTATGTCTAGGGCTTAATGCTTAAGGGAATGGTCATGCAAGGGCCTGTATGGGAGTCTATGAGGCTATGATCTGCCCCCTTGTTCCTCCTCTAAGGAGGTCTATCACATGACTAGTGACATGCCAGGGAAGGAATGGTCAGGGAGGGTTTGAACCATATGACCAGTCAATGGTTAGGGGGTCTAAACCACATGACGAACATGAGCAGCAATATGCTGGAGGAGGAAAGGTCACCCTGGGGGTTGAGGTCCTAGCCCAGTTTTGCCTGTTGATAGGTACTGGGGCCTTCCACCCTGGAGACCTTCTGTACCTGACCTATTGTTCCCACTCTGCTCATGCCTAACTGCTTACTATATTGCATTCATTCTTCAACAACTATTTATTGAGTTCCTAACATTATAATCAAAAGTGTGCTAAATTCTGGAGCTATAGCAGTAATGAGAAAGCATAGAAAATGTTCTCATTGGGTTTATAATCTAGTTATAATTTGTTCAAGGAGCCTTCCCTCCCTCTGTGGGAATGGAAACTAATAGAAAAAAAAAAAAAAAACTGGGAAGGAAGGAACCATTAAAAATGATAATTATTAGCAAATTTATTGTATGCCAAATCTAGAAAATATACAAAAAATGTTTCTCAGAGTTATAGTGCATTACATGGATACCCATTTGTGATATATCTTTGAAACATTAACATTTGTTTTAAATTCCAGACTACACAAAACTTATAATGGCAAGACATTTTGGTGGCAAGGCAAAAATAGCTGGGAGAAAATAAGTTGATAATCTACAAAACAAAACAAGTAATTAATCAGTATACTTCCTTTATTTATTTATTTTTTAATACAAACACCAGTATTTGATTAAACCAGCAGAACCCTTGCTGTGTAAATATGACTTCAGTGACCATGGCCATGAATGTGTTCAGCTCTCCTGGCACTTGTGATAAACTTGGATATATTGTTTCATTTTAAGCCTGTTCCTGTTTCTATTGTACTATGTGATCTTGCAACTTAAATGTGCAATAAATAAAGAAGGCATTTCCCTGTGTTTAAGTCTGGTATATAATTTTTATTATTAGAGTGGGTGCACAAAATAATGCCCGACTAGCTGGAAATCAAAAGTCATTTTGCTCTAAAGCATTTCGAATAGTTAATTTTGTGAAATGATTGGAAATCAGTGTTACTAAGGGAACAAATGTTGTTCTGAAGGTTTTCCTTGTCTATAAGACCAAGAAAGGATACTTGGGGGAGAGTGGACAGAATAGTAGCAGAAGAAGTACCATTCACCTGTGTCAGAAAGATGCGTCCTTATGAGAGCTAGGAGGGACACAGAGAAGGAGAGAGCTGAGGTTGGAAGGCAGACCTGAGTACCACTTTGGAGCCTGAACCATTTGGAATTGAATTCTGTTCACCTGTTACTTTATTTGAAACTGATTTTTAATAACACCGTGTCAATGGCTTATTGTGAAGGAGTACAACAAAATGCATAAAAAGCTCTTAGTATCAGATACTGGCACATAATAGATATTCAACAAATATATATTCTCTGTTTTCCTATCCATAATGTAATTGTTCACATGGTGAAGGACAGGTGGCGATAATCCTTTTAGGTCTAGTGTAGTTTGTTATGTGACTTGACCAAAAACAAAGAAATCTTCATTTGTGAAATAATTCCTTAGAATTTTCAAATGATTAAATATTTTAGTATATAAACATCTTGTTATATGCTACTTATAGTAAATATGAATACTGTATTGATAGTTAATTTATTCAAAAAATCACTCAGTGTTTTCAATATTTCATTCAAATTTGTATCTCTTATTCTCAAAATTATTTTACCAGACTTTTCCTAGTTGCACCATACTAGTTTTTGACAAGATTCCTTGCATTGTTATGCTTGAATAATGTTCATTAGGAGCCATCCAGAGACAATTATAATTTAATCTTTCTTGTTAACTGTTTGATATATGTTACTAATCTTGTGCATTTTATTTTTGGTGTAATGAGTTAAGAGTGAGAAAAGTTTTGAGAATACAATTTCTAAATCTCTTTCCAAATTATGTATTGCTCATTACAAAGGTTTTAAATTTTGAGAATCCTTTCTGTAATTTGTTTTATAAAGAATAAATTTCACCTTTATTTATGCCCCTATAGTGTGAGTTAGACAACTATTCTGCATAATCATCTAAGTCCTGTCCTGCTTGAGTCAAAACCCACCAACGGCTTTCTACCTCCCTCAAGATAAACACTGAAGCTCTAACCATGGGCTACAAGCCTTCACATAATGTGTAGAGCTCTCCCTCCCCTACTCTGCACACCCTGTAGTGTCTCCTACTCTCTCCTCTTGTCCACTCCTGCTCCAAGTCTTAGCACCAGTTTTCAGACACCTGGAATGTTCAGCTAGATTTCCACTTGGTGCTCTTCATATCATGCAGGCTCGTGTGTGTGTGTGTGTGTGTGTGTGTGTGTGTGTGTATTCCAAAATTCTATTCTGACATCTCTATATGAAAAACATGCCTTCTTTCCACCTCTGACTTCTTTCTTTCCTTAGCACTTTTATTGCCACCTGACATGTTATCATTACACATCTGTTTATTCCTCTTACTAGCATATTAGTTCTGTGACCACCATACATAGGATAGCACATAATTGGAGTTAAATATGTGTTGGGTAAAAGAATGAACACTATACCTCAAGAAAGTCTGAATCATCAACTCTGCTGTTTTTAGAACCTATAAATTCAGTGCCCCAATTGCCCAGGGGATACTGCCAGGCAGTTTGGGAAGAAAGAGCTAAATAAATCATAAAGGACCAATACATTATTCACTGTTATTCCACTACACTTTTTTCCTTTAAAAAACCAAAAGTTCTTTTTACATAGTGACCTGACTAGTTTTAGCTTGATAATGCCAATTAGTTAACAAAGAATCAGAAATATAGGGGGAAAAGCCACACATTTTGGCATGATTTAATGTCTATCTTTATTTGTCTATATTCTCATTCCCACTGTGATGCTTCATGAACCTGATTTACTGCTTGTTACGTTTTTCGTGAAGATGATGACCCTCTTTCATGGAGTAAGATGGTTTAAAATGCAAACCCTGCTTAGGTTTGAACACCTAGATATGATCAGTATTCTATGTCGAGGCCCCTAATCAAACCATTCTCACCATGCCCTCTGTCCAACACTAAACTCTGGATGACACTATTTGAAATAATAATTATTAGTTTTCAGACTCAATTATTGTAATTTTCTGAATCTTTTAATTCCCCTTTCTTAGCAAGTATAGTTGGCAGCGTAATTACTTAGCAACCACTTTCCTTTCTCAGTTAAGACCCTTGCTAATACCCTCACCCACTTCAGAGATGAAATTCTCTCAGAGTTTTATAAAATAGCAGCTCAATTTCAATGTTCCTGAACCTAAGGGAGAGTGTGATCTGAGCTCTATTTTAGGAATAATTTTCTAGTTCATTTTTGTATTATCTTTCACATAACCAGTTAATTATCCCAAAAGTATAGGCTTTATGAAATGATTGCTTTGCTAATATACTTCTAGAGAAAATCAAGATAATTTAAAATTCATTAAGTTTACTTACTTGATTCTATAGTCAAAAACCTTCTACTACCCCACCCTCTAATCCCACTATATGGAAGTTTCCATTTTCAATAGTCTACTGTGTTAACCCAGAGATTACTAGTGATCCCTGTGTTTTCTTTCTAATATGACACTACTCATATACCTATTCTGTGTCACACCACACCAATAAAAATAGTTGAATGAAAATACATTCAGAATTTTTTTAAAGAATGAACATCTTAGTAACAACTTGACTGAAGCAGAATTTAATATTATGGTTTGGAGTTTCTATCTAATAAAGAATATTGTTTTATCCTTTCTAATCCAATATTGAATATATTGGATTAATTGATAGTTTCTTTTTTTTTTTAATCAATTTTACCCAGTCTGATATAATCTCATCTAATCTATAGGAACTTGAAGTTGACAATTCCTTATGTGCCTTAAATCTGAAATTAACCTACAATATTATTTTCATAATGGCATTTTATATTCATAAATTCTTATATACTTTTTAATCTCTACCAAGCATTAATGATATTTAGAGAAACTCATTCAAAGAGTTATACTGTTTTCCACTGTTTCAAGGATAAATTTATTAGACTGAATTTGTGATGGAGCCATCAAGGCAGATGTAGGCAACTCGCCAGCTTTATTGAAGCAGATCTTTCCAGTGCAGGTGGAAGCTGAGGTTTTCCTGGAAGATGCAATGGAAGGTCAGGCACACTATCTGAAACATGTATGATATGGGTAACTTAGGGTCTGAAATGCCATGACTTGAATTGGATATCTCAGGTATTAGTTGGGGAACAGCAATAGAATCATTTCTTCCCTTTGGGAAATATGAAAGAATTAACAAGACTGAATTACATATGTCTGTGTGGAGAACGTTTAGTTTTAGTTTTGATTAGCATGGTGATATTTATTAATAATTAATTTTTTTATTATTAATTGTCAACTGCATAGTTTAATGACTTGTGGACAATATGAGGAAGGAACTTGAGGCACAGACTTTGGTGCAAGCTATCTATGAAATAGTAGATTCTCTTGGACCACATTAGCAATTATACTCCTTTGAAAAAACCTCCTAATGAGCATTTCTGCATTTTAGGGTGCAGTTAGTGTTAAAGGTGAATTTGGTGCTCCTGGAACCCCTGGGGGAAAGATAGGTTGATTTGCTGTTTGATTAAACTTTGTGGCTATTTTATGTGGCCATGTCAGACAGGAAGGGTAAGTACAGTCAGCCCTTGTTTATCGCGGTTAATCAGTTCCAGACTCTACCGTGATAAATTAATTTCTGCGAAGTAGGATTCTTTATTTATATGCAGTCGTCCCTGGCCACTTCGCGCTTCGACTTTCGCAGCTTCACATTCATTTGTTTGTATGTTGTCTTAAGCAACGTTAGGGAATTGTGGGAGAGATCATATGGCCCACAGTCTAAAATACTGTCTTGCCCTTTTCAGAAAAAACTGATGGACCACTGCTCTAGAGCAATGGTCATTATTCTAAGACAGCTGTTCTCAACCTGGGGGTCGAACGACCCTTTCACAGGGGTCGCCTAAGACATAACAGTAGCAAAATTACAGTTATGAAGTAGCAATGAAAATAATTTTATGGTTGGGGGTCACCACAACATGAGGAACTGTATTAAAGGGTTGCGGCATTAAGAAGGTTGAGAACCACTGTTAAGAGCACAAGCCTCTTTCTTAATGTCACTATTTTATGTATGGTATAGTCTCTTTTAATACATATTTTACTACAGACATAAATCAAATAAACATTTACATTTATATGGTACCACATGAGATATTATAAACAAAAATACAAGAAATATATTTTAATTCATGCTATAAATATAGTATCTACATCATAAAATGGTTGATATTTCACATTGTTTTCTGTAATACTATAAGGTGATTCTAAATATTGAATTTACTCATAAGTGGTTAGTGTTGAAGTTCAGCATCTTACTCAGTTCAGTTTTTATATAAACTTTAAAAAATTGTTATTTATTTATTTATTTATTTTACCCTGGCTGGTTTGGCTCAGCGGTAGAGCGTCGCCCTGTGGTCCAGAGACACCCAGGTTCGGATCCTGCTAAGGGCATGTACCTCAGTTGCAGTTTGTCCCCGGCCCTGTATGGCTCATGTGGGTGGCAACCACTCAATGTGTCCCTTTCACGTTGATGTTTCTTTCTCTCTCCCTCCCACTCTATCTGAACAAGAAATGGAAAAAGGTCCTCGGGTGAGGAAAAAAAAAAAAAAAAAAAAATATATATATATATATATATATATATATATATATATCTCTGAACTATTCAAGTGTCACACTTTGATGCTAGAAGACAATTCTTTTCTTCACCAAAGTAAGGTTAGTATAAGTTTCTGTACCTGTTACAGCTGCACTAATTATCAAGTTAGTCCATTGTGTCTCACTATCTAGAAGGCCATAACCCTTGTGGTTATTAACCTACAGCTGTCACAGGAGTAACTGAAGCTGAGGGTATTTCAGAAATTATTGTTAATATTTTTTAAATAATTTGGTAATTATTTTTTATTAAATTTATAGAGGTAACATTGGTTAATAAGATTACATAGGTTTTAAGTACACATTTCCATGATTCATGATCTGTATATTGCATCGTGTTGTCACCACCCAAAGTCAAATCTTCTTCTGTCACTGTATATTTGGCTTCCTTTATCATTTAATACCACCCACCCTGCTTCCCTCTGGTAACTACCATGCTGTTGTCTGTGTCTGTAACTTTCAATTGTATATCCCACGTTCAGATTTTTTTTTGGTGTTCTTCTTAAATGTATCTCCGATATGTGACTGCTTTTCTGATGCTGCTTTTTTTCTTTTACAAGTTACTCAGACTGATATGCACATATTTTATTCCTGTAGTAGAGTACATGTTAGAGTGAGTGAAATCAACCAACTGTGTTGAACATTGAATAATGATACCTTGATGCATGTTAATATTTATTTTGGCTTCTAGCCTCTTGCTTGGTTTTGCTAATGACATTAATTGATGACTCTTCATCATAAGTAAAAGTTCCTTCAAATACATGTTTAAAAGGGTCTAATTCCTTCTAACTGCCTCTTCTCCTAGAGACTACTACTCAATACTTCCCTTAACTCCAAAAGAGAGTGCCCCAATCAAAATTTGCTTTATACTCTTAGTCTGCCAATACCTTCCTAAAATATATCCCAGCATTCTGATTGTTTAGATTTCAGATCATTGGGATTTTTCAAATTAATTCGAATATGGGAATTTTTTTTACAAAGCCAGAAACAGAATCACTGAAGTGCTTGGACTATAAAATATATTACATACTGAACTTCTTTACTTCTTTTGGTAAAGTACGATTCATATAAGTTTACACGATAAATTATAGGGCAGCAGAATAAAATTTCCCTGGAATACTTTGGAAAAAAATTTACTAAGATTATTATAAAATATCATTAATTCCAGTGCTTCAGAGTGATTTCTCTTGGATCCTATTTGAGAAAACAAGGCATAAACTGCTACTGATTGGCTGGGACAAGGCTTTCAAGTCCTGAAAAGTTGCTATCAGCAGACTGGCTTCAGTATGAGAACCAGATGAAGTAATCAACAGGCTCAACCAGTCAAAAGCTGATCAAATCAATCTCAGTCAAGGGCCATCCAGGAGAGTAAGAAAACAACAGGCTGGAAGTTAAGTATGTAAGCTAAGAAATTCTCTATTTAAAAAAATAGTTGCTTCATAAAGAGGACATTTAGGGCAGAGTGAAGGAATTGGAGCAAGACATGATGTTCTAGAGACAAATGCTCCTCAGAATTCAAGATTTTGTTTCTTTTCCCAGAAGATCAAATTTCAAGAAAGAATTTGGTATGATGATTCATCCTACACTCTACTTAAAGTAAAACATCAATGAATACAAAGGAATATACCACCTACTAATAATCTGGTCAAACCTAGTAATTATAAGAATAACATTTCAGCCCTCAGGGCCTATCTGGTCAAAAGGGTCATGGAGTGAGTCTCACAAAATCAATGAACTCCAGTGTCTATGTGAAGACTGTCTCCAAGGAACTTAAAAGTTAATGTGATAAGGAAAGCTGTATCTATGGTGTTCTAAATTCAACACAAATTATTCTGACAAACACTCTCTCATGTTTCCTCAAGCAGTTTTGTTTTTATCAAGCAGTTTTATTTGGGTCTAATTTACTTGAGTTGTTCTTACAGGGCCTCACAGACCATGAGAAAATTCATGCAGCTTCCTGTGGTGCCAAGCATGGTATCAGGCTACACTTGGCTCGTGGGTCCTAGTTTCATGTACCTTCATGATATCTGTAGAATCACCAAGTCTTTGACCATATCCTCTCCTGGGTACAGTGACAGGTGGTGCTGCGTCTGCTACTAAATTGTCACTTCACTTGGTGTTAAAGAGATGTAACACTCAAGAGAAGAAATATCACCTCAATGTTTTTTTGTGTGTTTTTTTTTTTTTTTTTACTTCTATAATTCCCAGGTTACTATTTATTTATTTATTTATTTATTTATTTATTTTTGTTATAGATGTTTTCCCTTTTATCCCCCCATTGACAACTTCCTCCCAACACCCCCCCCCCAAGCCTTTTTGTCTATATCCTTCTCTACGAATACATGTGTATAAATTCTGTGGTTTATCTCTTCCCTCCCCCCATATCCACCTCTTCTGAGGTTTGTCAGTCTGCACCCCACTTCCATGTATCTGGGTCTATTTTGCTCCTCAGTTTGCTTTGTTCATTATATTCCACAAATAAGTGAGATCATGTGATAGTTGTCTTTCTCTGATTGGCTTGTTTCTCTTAGAATAGTACTCTCCAGGTCCCTCCATGTCGTCTCAAAGCATAAGAACTCTTTCTTACAGCTGCATAGTATTCCATTGTGTATATGTACCACAGCTTTCTTATCCACTCATCTATTGATGGACACTTGGGCTGTTTCTAGATCTTAGGGATTATAAATAGTGCTGGCATGAACACAGGGGTACATATATTCTTTCTGATTGGTGTTTCAGGTTTTTTAGGGTATATTCCTAGAAGTGGGATCACTGGCTCAAATGGCAATTCAATTTTTAATTTTTTGAGGTAACACCATATTGTTTTACATAGTGGCTGCACCAGTCTGCATTCCCACCAGCAGTGTACTAGAGTCCCCTTTTCTCCACACCCTCGTCAGCACTTGTGGTTTGATGATTTTGTTGATGGTGGTCATTCTGGCAGGTGTGAGGGGATACCTCATAGTTGTTTTAATTTGCATCTCTCTGATGATTAGTGATATTGAGCATTTCTTCATATATCTCTTGGCCATTTATATGTCCTGTTTGGAGAGGTGTCTATTCAGCTCCTCTGCCCATTTTTTAATTGGGTTCTTTGTCTTCCTTTAGTTGAGTTGTATGAGTACTCTATATATTTTGGAAATTAGGCCCTTATCTGATATATCTTTGGCAATTATGCACTCCCATATAGTGGGTTCCTTTTCTATTTTGATGGTTGTTTCTTTTGCTGTGCAGTAGCTTTTTAGTTTGATGTAGTCCCATGTGTTCATTTTTGCCTTTGTTTCTATTGCTTTAGGCATTGTATGAGTGAAAATTCTGGTGCGTGTGATGTCTGAAATTTTGTTGCCTGCATTTTCTTCTAGGATTTTTATGGATTCATGAGTCACATTTAAGTCTTTTATCCATTTTGAGTTTATTCTTGTGTAGGGTGTAAGTTGATGTTCTAGCTTCATTTTTTTTGCATGTAGCTGTCCAATTGTCCCAATACCATTTCTTGAAGAGGGTGTCTTTGCTGCACTGTATGCCCTTGCCATCTTTGTCAAATATTAATTGAGCATAATGACTTGGGTCAATTTCTGGGTTCTTTGTTCTGTTCCATTGTCTATATGCCTGTTCTTGTGCTAATACCAGGCTGTTTTGATTACAGTGGCCTTGTAGTATAATCTGATATCCGGTATTGTGATTCCTCCTACTTTGTTCTTCTTTTTCAAGATTGCAGTAGCTATTCAGAGTCTATTTTGGTTCCATATAAACTTTTGGAGTATTTGTTCTAGTTCTATGAAATAAGTCGTTGGTATTTTGATGGGGATTGCATTAAATCTATAGATTGCTTTGGGTAGTATGGACATTTTAATGATATTAATTCTTCTAATCCATGAACAAGGTATGTGCTTCCACTTTTTTATATCTTCCTCCATTTCTTTCTCAGTGGCCTGTAGTTTTCTGTGAATAGGTCCTTTACTTCTTTGGTTAAGTTTATTTCTGGTATCTTGTTTTTTTGTTTTGCTGCAATGGTAAACAGGGTTGCTTTTTTAGTTTCTCTTTCAGTGAGTTCATTGTTGCTATACAAGAATG